CCATGACAGGAGCATCTTCTGATGAGAAGGGTTGAATAAAATTGCCATGAATGTTACTGCAGTTAGCTAAAGTAAGTAGAAAACCAAACCGGGGGATATAGTTTCCTGTGACACAATAAAGACGTACACTGCAGAGGAATGGCATGCATGGGTGAAGTCCGAACGAAGGAAGCCTCTCCTAAAGCCCACCTAGAATTTGCCAGGCCCATGCTGAGAGACTACTGTGATTCTGTACTCTGGAGTGATGAGACTAACCTAAATGTTTTTGGAACTGATGGCTTCCAAACTGTATGGTGTCGCAAAGGAGTACAAAGAAAAATGCACGGTGCCTACCGTGAAACATGGTGGTGGCAGTGTCCTTCTGTGGGGCTGCATGAGTGCTGCTGGTGATGGGGAGCTGAATTTCATTGATGGTGTCATAAATTCAGAGGTACTGCTCTATATTTAAAGAGAAGATGCTCCCATCACTCTGTGCCCTTTTTTCCAACATGACAGTGATCCAAAATACACATCTAAAGACCACTGCTGCATTTCTGAACAGGGTGGAAGTGATTCAGTGGCCAAGTATGTCTCCTGATCTGAACCCAGTGGAACACCTATGCGGGATTCTGAAGAGACAAGTTGAGCATCTCTCCATCCAGGCTCTAAAATAGGTTCTTGAAGAATGGAAAAATATCGCTGTTGCCCAACTTGTTAGTTCCATGCCTAGAAGACTTGGCGCTGTCCTTACAAATCATGAAGGTCATACAAAATACTAGATGGAGTATTTTTGTTGTGGGATGTATTCATTTTTGCATCAACTAAATTTTGTTTTCTGGAGGCATTTTTTTTTTTTAATTCTGTGGCAGATGAACATAACTTACAATTAGAGATGAGCGAAGAAGAATGAAAAATTCGATTCGACTGATTAGGCGAATTCGTGGACAATATTCGATTCGAGTCGAATAAATTCGCTGTGAATTTAACTTAAAAAAGGGTGTTTCTAGGCTTCAGAGAGACTTAATATTAGTGCAGAACACTGTACCTTTAATTTAAATGCCCTTGGAGTCTGCTGGGGAAGAGAAATAATACTGTCAGTCAGTATGACATGCAGATGAGTGCCGTCGATCTTAGAATCACCGCAAACTTCACTCATTTGGGCAGTCACGGGGCCAAAACCAGAGTGTGGAGCCACAGTGTGGCGGTGGAGGCAGCAGCAATGGGAGGCCATACAGCACCCTATGACAAAAATGGAAACCACCAGCAGTGTGAGGAGACCTGAAAGTGGCACATGGCAGAGTGTGGCGATAGAGACAGCAGCAATGGGAGGCCGTACAGGGACCCATGACACACTCTGGACCTGGCAGCAGCATGAGGAGGCGGTACAGGGGCCCATGACAGATTACGGGCCTGGCAGCAGCATGAGGAGTCGGTACGGGGGCCCATGGCAGATTACGGGCCTGGCAGCAGCAATGGGAGGCCGTACAGGGACCCATGACACACTCTGGACCTGGCAGCAGCATGAGGAGGCGGTACAGGGGCCCATGACAGATTACGGGCCTGGCAGCAGCATGAGGAGTCGGTACGGGGGCCCATGGCAGATTACGGGCCTGGCAGCAGCAATGGGAGGCCGTACAGGGACCCATGACACACTCTGGACCTGGCAGCAGCATGAGGAGGCGGTACAGGGGCGCATGACAGATTTCGAGCCTGGCAGCAGCAACTTGGACAGGAGGACGTTCAGCTTCTGCACCGTCGGGTGCGTGCTCGCAAACTGTTGTCTCTTGGAAACGGATTCCAAGAAAGACTGCTGACGGAATCCGTGAAGAGGAGTAGCAGGAGAAGGAGCATCTGAACGAGCGGAATATGCCAACAAGCGACAACAGGGGCCCATGTCCGATTACGGGCCTGGCAGCAGCATGAGGAGTCGGTACGGGGGCCCATGGCAGATTAGGGGCCTGGCAGCAGCTATGGGAGGCCCGTAATCTGCCAGCACCCTATGACAAAAAATGGAACCCACCAGCAGTGTGAGGAGACCTGAAAGTGGCACATGGCAGAGTGTGGCGATGGAGACAGCAGCAATGGGAGGCCGTACAGGGACCCATGACACACTCTGGACCTGGCAGCAGCATGAGGAGGCGGTATAGGGGCCCATGGCAGATTAGGGGCCTGGCAGCAGCTATGGGAGGCCCGTAATCTGCCAGCACCCTATGACAAAAAATGGAACACACCAGCAGTGTGAGGAGACCTGAAAGTGGCACATGTTTGGGGCATGATTCATGGCGGATTTAGTCAGTTGTGTCAGGAACTGGTGGTTTGAAATCCAGACTAATCCACGCCTGATTCATTTTCACAAACGTGAGTCTCTCCACACTTTTGGGTGGACAGTCGTGTCCTCCGCGGAGTTGCAATACCTCCTGCCGCACTAAACACGCGCTCCGATGCCACGCTACTGGCCGGGCATGACAGCCTTTCAAGGGCAAATTCAGCTAGTTGGGGCCAAAGGTCAAGTTTCGTTGCCCAGTAGTCAAGGGGATTGTCTACCTCGGTTGGCAGGGTGCTGTCCAAGTAGGCCTAAGCCTGTTGTTTGAGGTCCTGCTCCAGGTCCACCTGATGCTGCTGCTGCGGCTGGTTAGTAGTTTCCTCACTGCGCTGGTGAAGAAAGCTACTCATCGACTGCAGACTGAGGCAGCCGCTGCTGGTGGAGCTGCCACTGCTCCTACCACCCCACCCCTCCCCTGCTGCCATGGCAGCGGAACGCGAGCGCACAGGGCCCACAGTGTCTGAGGATGGACGTTGGCGCAGACAGGCAGAGACCAGCTGACTACATAGGTGTTTTTTTTAGTACGTTATTTTGGCCTCCCTCTCAGCAGGTGTGAAAAAGGCCACCATTTTTGAACGGTAGCGAGGGTCCAACAAGGTGGACAGCCAAAAGTCATCCCTCTGGTTATTATTCGGCTGTCGCTACACAAGCAAGCGAGCATGGTATGGGCCATTTGTGCCAAGGAATGCGAGGGACTCCCTGCCTCCATCTCCACAGCATACTGCCACGGTGCGTCTGGGTCCTCTGTCTCCTCTTCCTCCTCCTCTACCAGATGCTCCTGCTCCTCCACTCCTGTCCGCTGAGTGGAAAAACCACCCATTTCACTCAATAATTCCTGAGCACCAATGTCCTCCTCTACCTCCTCCTCTTCTTCCTGTCCTGCCCCCACAGGGGTCATGTGGCGTTGAGATCTGTGCGCCACGTCTACCGCACCCTGACCAGCCATTGTTAACAGCATTTGTTCCAGGACGTGCAACAGAGGAATGACGTCGTTCATCCCATAGTCCTGCCGACTCACGAATAGCGTGGCCTCCTCAAAGGGCCTGAGCAAGCGCAGGTGTCACGCATGAGCTGCCAATGGCTGACATCTAAGTTACACAGGGAGTACCTTTATCCGCTTTTAACATCAGGAAATCTGTGATGGCCTTTCGCTGTTCGTAAAGGCGATCTAACATCTGTAGGGTTGAATTCCACCTTGTTGCAACGTCACAGCATGAGGAGTCGGTATAGGGGCCCATGGCAGATTAGGGGCCTGGCAGCAGCTATGGGAGGCCCGTAATCTGCCAGCACCCTATGTCAAAAAATTCTACACACCAGCAGTGTGTGAAGAGACCTGAAAGTGGCACATGGCATGAGAGACTGTGGACCTGGCAGCAGCATGAGGAGGCGGTATATAGGGGCCCATGGCAGATTAGGGGCCTGGCAGCAGCTATAGGAGGCCCGTAATCTGCCAGCACCCTATGTCAAAAAATTCTACACACCAGCAGTGTGTGAGGAGACCTGAAAGTGGCACATGGCAGAGTGTGGCGATGGAGACAACCCACCGACTGTTTTGCTCGCTGCCAAGCTGCCACCCTCTTCTCCTGATGATGCGGAAGCAATAGCCTGATGACGACGAGGCTGCCAAGTGCGATCAGCCTCATCATCATCAATTAGGGTCTCCGCCTCACTACTAGCCCCCTCGGCTGCGTGTGTGGGTCAGGAGACAGACCTGTCTCTACACCGGCTACCGAGCCACTCTCCTCGCCACTACTTCTTCGCCTGGCTGCTGAAGAGGCGGATGTCTCCCCCCGTTCCTGACCGCCCTCTGTTAGCTCTTCCTCACTGTACTGGATGACACCGGGAGCACTAGCCTCTGGCTGCGAATAGTGCTGCCTCGACCCCTTCCTCTGCTGCCACGTCTGCTCGCTCCTAAAACATTGCCTCCTCTGCCACTCCTCTGCATGTTGTCTGACATACTCTTTAATTAAACGATTCTGTGTCCCTGAGTAACAGTTCTGTGGCCCTAAGTAACGGTTCTGTGGCCCTCAGTAACGGTTCTGTGGCCCTGAGTAACGTTTGTGTCCCTCAGTAACGTTTCTGTGTCCCTCAGTAACGTTTCTGTGTCCCTCAGTAACGTTTCTGTGTCCCTCAGTAACGTTTCTGTGTCCCTCAGTAACGTTTCTGTGTCCCTGAGTAACGTTTCTGTGGCCCTCAGTAATTTCTGTGGCCCTCAGTAACGTTTCTGTGGCCCTCAGTAACGGTTCTGTGGCCCTCAGTAACGTTTCTGTGGCCCTCAGTAACGGTTCTGTGGCCCTCAGTAACGGTTCTGTGGCCCCAAGTATCGGTTCTGTGGCCCTAACTCTGTCCCTAATACAGAGCGGTCTGCCTCTGTTCAATGACTGCAGGCAAATGAAGAATTCCAAAATGGCCGCTATTTATAGCTCGACCATTACACAGTGCTGGCTGGCTGCTGATTGGCTGATGCGATCACATGTCATTGAGGAATGCATTATGGGTCAGCGCGCCTTGTCTGCGCGCCTTCCCAGACATCCCCGCTCCGTCGCCGCACATGTCCGCCGCCATTTTCGGAAAAATTTCGATTCGCGCGTCCGAAGTAGGCTATTTTTCCGATATTCGACTCGAATTCCACTTCGGCTACTTCGATTCGCTCATCTCTACTTACAATGTCCATATCACAGCATCTTTCAGAGGCATTGAGAGCCAAAATGTCCCAAAAAATCTGCTTGGCTTCAGCTCAGAATTTCCTCCACCTTTTCTGGAGCCAAGTTGAGATCCTTTATTTGCTGCCAAGTCTCTCTTCTTTTGGTCATGACCACCTGCTTCATTCCAAAGCAAGGTCCCAGTGCTAGCAGTGTACACCATGACACCAAAGGCCCACACATCAATGCTTGGGTCTAGCAGCAATTGTTCCTCGTTTTCGGCTGCACAGTTCAGCAGCTGTGTATGGAATGAACCCGGACATACAGTTGCAAGAAAGTATGTGAACCCCTTGGGATTACATGGAGTTTTGCATGAATTGGGCATAAAATGTGCTCTGAACATTATCTATCTAAGTCACAACAATAGAACAGTCTGCTGAACATACTACACAAACATTAGATGTTGCCATGGTTTAATTGCACATAACATGTAAACATTCACAGTGCAGGGAGGAAAACGTATGTGAACCTTTGGACTTAACTGGTTGACCCTCCTTTTTGGCAGCAATAACCTCAACCAAACGTTTCCTGTAGTTGCAGATCAGACCTGCACAACGATCTGGAGTAATTTTGGACCACTCCTCTTCAGAAAACTGTTTCAGTGTAGCAATATTCTTGGATGTCTGGTGTGAATCGCTCTCTTAAGGTCATGCCACAGCATTTCAATCAGGCTGAGGTCAGGACTCTGACTGGGCCACTCCAGAAGGCGTATTCTGTGCTGTTGCAGCCATTGTTTTGTTGAATGACTTGTATGCTTTGGGTCATTGTCCTGTTGCATCACCCATCCTCTGCGGAGCTTCAGTTGGCGGACAGATGGTCGTACGTTTTCCTGAAAAATGTCTTGATAAACTCTGGAATTCATTTTCCCATCAATGACAACAATCTGTCCAGGCCCTGAGGCAGCAAAGCAGCCCCAACCCATGATGCTCCCTCCGCCATGTTTTACAGTGGGGATGAGGTTTTGATGTTGGTGTGCTGTGCCTTTTTTTTCTCCACACATAGTGTTGTGTGTTCTTCCCAAACAACTCAATCTTGGTTTCATCTGTCCACAGTATATTTTGCCAGTAGTGCTGTGGAACATCCAGGGGCTCTTTTGCAAACTTCAAACGTGCTGCAATATTCTTTTTGGACAGCAATGGCTTCCTCCGTGGCCATTCTTGTTTTTAATGTTTTCCTTATTGTAGATGTGTCAACAAAAATGTTAGCATGTGCCAGAGATTTCTGTAGGTCTTTAGCTGACACTCTGGGATTCTTCTTTACCTCATGCAGCATTCTGCGCTGTGCTCTTGCAGTCATTTTTACAGGGACAACCACGCCTAGGGAGAGTAGCAACAGTGCTAAACTTTCTCCATTTGTAGACAGTCTGTCTTACCGTGGACACATGAACATCAAGGCTTTTGGAGATACTTTTGTAACCCTTTCCAGCTTCATGCAAGTCAACAATTCTTGATGGTAGGTCTTCTGAGAGCTCTTTTCTGCGAGGCATGGTTCACATCAGACAGTGCTTCTTGAAACCAGTAAACCCAAAACAGGTGTGTTTTTTTTTAAGGGCAGGACAGCTGTCAGCAACACATCCAATATCATCACACTGATTGGAGTCAAGGTTGGCTCACTCCCGGCTCCAATTAGCTCTGGGAGAAGTCATTAAGCTAGGGCCTCACATACTTTGTCCTCCCTGCACTGTGAATGTTTACATGTTATGTGCAATTAAACCATGGCAACATCTGTTTGTGTAGTATTATGTTCAGCAGACTGTGTTCTATTGTGACTTAGATGATGTTCAGAGCACATTTTATGCCCAATTCATGCAAAACTCCACGTAATCCCAAGGGGTTCACATACTTTTTCTTGCAACTGTATATTAAAGTCCATTATGTGAATTTACACTTTTCATTTTGCTGTAGAACTCCTCCTGGTGAGAAGGTTCGGAGTGAAGGTGTTCTTGGGCTCTGACTTCCCGGCCACAGCAAAATCATGGAGGGTGCAAGAGACATAAGCAGGAATCTTTTGGTATCTAAAGTATTTGGTAAATCCTCCTGCGCTGCTAAACCTACTAAGGATAATGAAACCGTAGCGAACATCCAATCCTCACCTTTTTTTAGATGGATAAATGGCTATAATTTAATGTAGCGCTATAGTTAATATTGTGACCCTTTTTTTTGTAGAGCCGCTTCCAAAATACTTGATATTATAAAATCAACCAAACTTATACTAGTGACATTTGTGAGTGATTCGTGCAATATAAATCAAACATAAATATCCAGGGATATAGGTCACCTTGTATAGGTGGTTTTATGAGTAACCGTGATATATTTTATAATGTCCACAATATTCAGTGTTTTAACATGTATATCAACAGCACACACAACTGATGTAAACCGAACCGAAAAAAGAAGTTCCGGTCTCGTCGGAGGCTTCCAGCCATCTGAAAAAAAGGCTAGCTGACAGTTCTTATATAGGTATGGGGCGGGGCCAGCCGGGGACATCATCACAGTGACCCTGCCCCATGTAACATCATTGATGTCACATGGGGCGGGGTTTCTCCGATGATGTCCCCGCCTGGCCCCGCCCCTTACCTATTATTGTTGATGTGGATGTGATTTTATTTTATATTTATTAGAGCGGCTCACCGCCTAAGGCTAGTAAGCCTCGTCAAACCCGTTCCGCACTCGACTAGGCTTACTAGCCTTATGCGGTGAGCCGCTCGCTGATAGCTCTTAAATAGGTAAGGGGCGGGGCCAGACGGACCCCCTTTTTTTTTTTTTTTTTTTTTTTTTTTTTTGTGAAGGATTTGGCAAGCAAAGAGCTGTCAGAGAAGAGCGAGCTAGTGAGACAAAGGAGTGAGCGAGAGATACATACTGAAGAGTGATAAAGAGACATACAGAAGAGAGAAAAGACTTGGTTGGGGAATCCATATCAAAATTGTCACAAATACTGGTGTGGAATTTCCCTCAAATGCATAGCAGACCCTTATCCCAGTAGGCAGGTACCGCACGCCTTCAAAGATTTCTTTCCTTTGTTGATTTACCTGCTTCGTTCATACTATATGCAATTGAAAATTACTCTAAGTTGCCAATTTTACTGTTTTCTAGAGAATTACTAACTAGTTGTGTTTTTTTCAATTGTGTGTAGCATTGCATTTTTTTCTATTTGAGTCTAGATGTTAAATTGCTAATAAATGGCCAAAATTTTTTTTTTTTTTTTTTCTTTTGAACTCTCGCTGCAACAAATGGTGTATGTTAATACTCACATTCACCTTCATTATATCCAATATCGGGTACGATGTCAATTCACAAATTGCACCTGAAATTGCACACCCTGGCTGCGACTTGTCATGCGATTTGGCATGGCCAGCAGCTTGCCCCTTGCATGGCAAATTGCACACAATGTTACTGGGGGCTAACACCACTGTCACATCTAATCCGATGCGGCAATTGCCCAACTTACAGTGAAGTTGCATGAGTTCACAATCCAATTGGATGTGAACAGAACCTACAGTGGCCAATAGGGTGCTACTTGGTCTACGATTTGCAAGTCGCCTGTCATGCCAATTGCATGGCAATCGCAAACAATGTTACTGGGGGCTACCCGGTCACATTAAAGCAGATTTCTAAGTGGTGTTATTGACACCACAGTCACATCATGTGACTTGTATTGAGGTTGCATGATTTCAAAGTCGGGGTACATGGTGATTTCAAGCGCAATTTGCAAGTATGTGCAAACTGGCT